CCCTTCCTGTTCACCTCGTCTCATCTCCCCTGCATTTTCTAATTCCTTAAACTCATCAAATACTATGGTAATGACTACCCAACCATTCTCAAGAGGCGGTTCCGTTGACCTTATTCAGCGTCCCTCTAACAACAATCAGTCGGATATGCTGCAGAGAGAACGAATGCGCCTTCAGAATTCCCGTTGCGTCAATATGCAATTGCCATGTGGTAAACCATCGTCTCAATCTGTTGATGCTATGTTGATGAAGCCCCCCGAAAATGTAGATAATGATACAGTTTCATCATTCGTTCAGTCAACAAAAGCCCCCGTTCAGAGTAGATATTTTGATCAATCGGATGTTAATGTATCATCAGCGCCCATTCAACAACCTCAATTGGTTTGTAGTGTTTCACCGCGTCAGATTTTGTCAAAAGTTCCTTTGGCGATTGCTACCGAAGCGAAAATCCTTCCAGCTCAACATCAGTCCGACATGATGCAAAAGCAGCAGCAAATGCAACTACAGCAACAAGTGATGCAACAGCCCCATCAAAATCCAAATCTTCAGCCTCGACTATTTACTTATATCTCCCAGCGCCAAGTTTGCGATCCAACGTCCACAAATGCAACTGTTTTTACTCTCCAACAACAGCAGCAACAAATTCGACCAACAAGCATATCAAATTCTCCTGCTCCTATTGCTGTAAAAAAGGATTCCATGATAGAATTTACTAACCAGTCCTATCCTCCTCCATCACATGGACCCGTAATTTCTAACGGAATTTCTCCCTCTCCGGTTGTCAGACCACAACAACAATCTGGAATCGCTCCTATTCATCCGATGCAGTATCTCGACGTTTCCCCTAAACCAATTCCTAATCTTGGAGTCATTCCGCAGCGAAAACGTCCTCCTGCGGCAAAGAGAAAAAAGTCCCCCATAGGTAACCCTGCACTCCTCTCTCCCGGGCCTAAAATGCCTATCAATGTTCCAATGGGTTATATTCGCAGTCCCATTGTGCCATCCCAGGGGCTTGATTTTAACCAACAACAACATCAAGTGCAGGTAGCACCGCCACCACCACCTCAACAGCAACGGGTTAACTCCTCCCAGGAAGCTATGAACAAGCTTATTTATTTTGATTCGAAAAAGTTCCTTTCAGATCCTGCTTTGGAGGCCTTTTCCTCCTCTCTTCCTCCTAACGGAAGCCCTTCAACATGTCCTGTTTTACCTTCTGGTGAAGAATCCTGGATAAATAATTGTGGTGTAAAATACGAAAGCAGTGGATTTTCTCTCAAAGCATTAATTCCTTCTGGTGATAATAATGATCGCATTTCTCTTAAGCTTGAAGAGGCTTACCTGTACCAGTCTTTACCAAATATTGTGAGTCACCCAACTGTCCGCCCACCTACTGTTCGTTCAACTCGGACATATACAGATGGCTCAACTCGTGTTTGTCCTTCGCCCGAGCCACTAACTCTAGATAATCGAATGAAGTCGCTATGGACCAACTTGCGAAATATGGATTCCTCCCCCACTATTTCTAAGTCATCAAATGATTCTGCTTCTCTCTTGTCCATGCTGAAAACACCGTGCTCTCCTCGTGAAAGACCTGCTGAATGCAAGAGTCCTCACCTGCAACTCTACCATATTCCTAACACTTGCTTACTCAAGGTTCCTCCTAAAAACCTTACGAATGCTACTAAGGAGAATACTATCAATATGAAGAAACCATCGGAATCAGTTAAACCTGAATCGCGAGTGATTTTCTCTACATGCTCTCCCATCAACAGCGGTGTTGATCTCGTTGGACTTGTTGCAATGCTCTGTGTGGAAAATAGTATTGATCAGAACAACGTCTCAATCATCGGGGGAGAAATTGTCATCCGAAATCCTCCTGAGTCTGAATATTCTGAGGAACAAGTTCGGGAATTTGGAAATCGACTTAGATCGCACTTCTCAACTGTGTCTGTGAGATTGGAGTCTGTCCAAGCACTGACTCCGACTACACAGACTATTGGAAGTGAAGTTTCGAGTCAAATGAAATGGCTTACGGAGCTGCAGAAAGAGAAAGCAGATGATCCTAACTTGCAGTCTTCTCTTGGTAATAAATACAAAGAGGAATCGCTTTCTGTGGTTGCGATATCCAACGCGAATGAACAAGCTGGTGAGAAATGTCAAATTTGTCGGAAAATCGTTCCCTTTGACTCGGGCATTCAGATAAAGTGGGAGGAGTTGTCTGCCTCAAAGTCAATTACATTGGGAGCGGAACAGGACTATTTATTTTTCTGTGGCGAGTCTTGTTCTGAAATGTTTGGTCAATTTATAAGTTCCCATATTCCTTCTACTACTGGTCCCAATTCGCAGCAATCACATCACCAAGTGAATACTAATACTGCTCCTTTCGAAAATTCTATTCATGTTACTTCTCAGTCAGAAACCCGTCATACTCAGCAGCAACTCATTACTGGAGGAGTTTCGAATTCACTTGTTTTGCTGCAGCACATGTCCCATAAAAGCCTCAAGTCACAGACCTGTGGACGAAAAGCCTCCAATCCTTCAGTTAGCAACAAACGAAAAGTTTCACCCAAACAGAAACGCTGGCGGGATATACGCTGGAGAATCTACCGATCTGACCCATACCATGTTAGGAAATTTGCTCCTGTTCCTGTTCATGGATCGAATGATGATTCAGTACCTCGAATTATCTATCAGATTGTACGTGATCAAGAAATTATCGATTCAAGATTCTGCATTCTATGTAGTGGTAGGGGTGATGGAACCCCGAACACGACAGAACGTCTCCTTTGTCTTGGTGCTGATCGATGGGTGCACTTGAATTGCGCGCTTTGGTGCTTTGACATCTATGAGTCATTGAGTGGTTCTTTGCACAAAGTGGATGAGTGTATCAACCGGGCCTTGAGGACAGTTTGCTCGCATTGTGGAAAGTTAGGTGCTGGTCTGCCTTGCTACAATCCCAGGTGTAACCTTATATACCATGTCCCCTGTGCCATAATTGTTGGATGTATGTTCTTCAATGATCGAGGGATGTACTGCAGCAGTCATCAACCCAAGGATAATCATTCTATGCGTCTCCCCTCACTCATAGTAAACCGGAAAGTATATGTCACTCGGAATGAGAGTGATCAAGTTGCAGATGTTGTGCGAAACGAAAATTCCTCCTTTTGCGTTCGGGTTGGAAGTCTTATTTTACATAATGTGGGTCAACTTCTACCTCACCAGATTGAAAGTGAAAATTTTCATACACGCAAGTACATTTATCCTGTTTTCTACTCGGCTTCCCGCATCTTTTGGTCTATGAGACGCCCGGGACAACGCTCTTTATATCGTTGTGAGATTTCTGAGCAGGATGGTAGGCCGCTCTTTCATGTCACGGTGATTGACAAGGGCTTCCCAAACGTTGTTCTTCAGAGTTTTAATTGCACCGAATTATGGAGAGAAATTGCTAAGAAGGTACAGCAACTTCGGATGGAAAATGGATTTATTCAAAACTTTCCACATTTGATTTGTGGCGAAGAAATGTTTGGCCTATCTGACCCGAATGTTCTCCGGGCTGTCGAATCCTTGCCGGGTGTGGATAATCTCATCGACTACGCCTTCCACTTTGGGAGACTGCAACTCATTCGCAATATGCCTCTGGCAGTTAATCCTTCTGGCTGTGCACGGTCTGAACCCAGTTTCCTCACTTCAATGCGTCGTAGGAGAGCGTATGCAAATTCTCATGAATGTTCTCCAAAGAAGACTGTTTATCCCCACTTTCGAAGTCCTGGTCGGCAAATGTCTGGAGTTTCTATCAGTTGTCCATCCTCTGATCCTTTTAATCGAATTCCTATTGATTTGACGACAAAAAACTCTACTCTTGTGAATTGGTGCCAACAGTATCGTAAGTTGAAGACGGAGTGCAGAAGTAATGTGGTCTTTGGTCGATCACGGATACAGGGCTTTGGCATGTTTGCTGCTCAAGATTTGGAGCCTAACACTATCGTGATTGAGTATATTGGCGAATTAATTCGGCCAGTGCTTGCTGACAGACGTGAAAAGGAGTACGAGGCCCGCAATCGAGGTATATATATGTTCCGTCTTGAAGCTGATACTGTTATTGATGCTACCATGTGTGGTGGTCCAGCACGTTACATTAACCACTCTTGTGAACCGAATTGCTTCGCCAAGTACGTCAATTTTGACAACGAGGGCCACATTGTAATCATCACTAAGGGAAAGGTAGAGAAGGGTGAGGAGTTGACCTACGATTATCTTTTTGATTTTGAAGATCAGACGAGTAGGATACCGTGTCTTTGTGGAACAGTTAATTGCCGAAAATGGATGAATTGATCTCTATCCCCAACCCGTCAATCTCAAACACGTGTGTATATTACTATGTAAATATTGTCCCCTGTGTGAGGTATGTACATAAACGTGGATCTCTCCTTTCTCCTGATCTCAGTGGTTTTAGTGATGATTGCCTTTCATGTAGATACAAAGTTGTCACCACCTTTATCTCAGCGTGCTTCCTTTCCTCTTCTCGACTTCTTTTTTGTTAAGACGTTCGGCTCTTGTTGAGACATTCCTCGATCTAATACTACTACTTAAAATCACGCAAACCTGAAGCTGCTCAATTTTCGTCCCATGCGACTTACACTTGGTAATCCCGTCCATCCTTTTTATGTACTCACTACACTTCCTCCTTGTCTTCTCTTCTCTTTCTTGGTACCTCCACCTTTTCCAAACCCTCTTCACGCCCCGTCCTACTCTTCTACTACTCCTTATTTGTACATACCTGTATTATGTATATTTTCTTACCTTTACTGTGTGTCTGTAATTGAAGACGCGTTTTATTAGTATGGGCGCGTGTCAGATATCATGTAAAAGAAATTTCCTTTTATATTGTGAATCTGTTGATCTTTTGGCTAGTTGGGTTGGTTCAGTTTGAGTCTCTGGGTTATTTGCGTTTACTTATAGCTCTCGAGTGCAGAAAGATGATAGCTTGATTCTGGTGTTGGCTTTATCGGTGATTCTTTTTGATCTTCATCTGT